ATTGCCACAACTCTCACATACAAAGCAGGGTTTATGAAGAAGGTAGATCTAGCCTTGAGCAGGCAGCTTAAAAAAATTAAAATTTAAAAAATGAATTGCCCTGAACCAAAACCTTGGAATATTTTACTAGCACTGTGCTCTGATTTGGCCCTAACCTCACACTCACAGAAATTGCAGAACCTATTACTAACAGTCTGAATCTGCTGCTGTTTCCATTGTCCTGCCCTGTACAGAGCACACAGCCTCTGGAAATAATGCAAATGGCAAAATTCCAGGGCTGCCTATAACGACTATTTTTCTACTGATTAATCTGTCAACTATTTTACAGATTGGTCGATTAATCTAAACGATTACATTTCCTCCAGAAAATCAAATGGACTATTTAAGTAAATTTTATTTTGACAACAACAAACTTGTACGTCATTGCAGGACTTTAGATAATGGACGTCGTATTTTCTGCACTCTATGGACATTATTTTTGCCCACAATTCGACAAGCAGATTAGCTATCTGCCTAAAATATTAATGACGTGTATTGTGACGCCCAAAAGTTAGTAATCTGCATAAATTCGGCGTATCTTTATGCTTATTAAAATAAGTTAGCGAAGCAGGCCAGTGACTGTTTTACTAAATCATGGAATCATGGAAGTGATAAGCAATGAAGAATAACAGTGTTTAAAAGAGATACTGTGGTTAAACAAGGTAAAAGACGTCAGTGAAGTGGCGATATTTTTCACAGATTAAAGTCTGACACCGGCACCGTCAATCAACATAGAAGAAGCCCAAATTTTAGCTTAAACATTTCTTTCCACAAACACGTCTTCCATGGAGATTCTAAGGTAGCAGGCAGACAACTTTATGGCTTTAATAATGAGTGTGTTTAGCAGCTACAAGGACAAACGTTATTTAAAAGTTTTCCATACTAATTGTAATCTAATGAGCATGAATAGACGACAGTTAAGGTGGTTTTCACTCTGGCAGCCCATCGTCCCGAACAGCGCCTTTGTGTTTCCGCTTCAGGTGCTCGTGCGTAGCACTAGTGCCACCGTGACACGCCAACTTTGCACAGTGTACAACTGAACTACTCCCATAATTACGTAGTGATATTAAAGGAAAACATTTGTTATAATGAAGTGTTTTAGAAATCATAAAGGTAATTTCATTAAAATAAAAAAAAGATGCATCGATTTTAAATATTGATGTCTACACATTTTCAGTGTCAACATCATCGACTACGTCGACTAATCGCGGGAGCCCTACAAAATCCATTTTCCAATTGATCCTAATCAGCAGATTTTACAGAATCTGGCTATAGTTTTTTTCCCACAGATAAGTGTCACTGGAAGAGTATTTGTGCCGCTTTAGGTTCCCTGTCTTATAGTACGTACACACCCCGCAGGCCACATCAGGTCGGACTTACTTTGGCCACAGACCCATTTTAGGGGAACTCCAGACTTTGCCAACCAACTGGGAGGTGCCATGATGGGGACCCTGCCTGGTGAACTGTGCCCAGAATTCTTTTGGTTAAGACCCTCAGCTCATGACCACAGACGAAGGCAGAGACTTTCCGCTTCACCGTCATAGACCTATTGAGTGGATAAAGAACAACATCATTCGCAAATAGCAGGGATGTCACCTCTAGGACATTGTAGTGGACACCTCTCTGTCCTCTGATGGCGTGGTGACAATCCCAGCCCTTTCAGGAGGCCAACACATACTTCAAATCATACGGACGCAAACTTTTCAGCCCAAGACCCACAGAATAACAGTTCCACAGACTTTCAACTACCAGTACATCCCAGCGACTGGGGGTGTAGGAGATGGTCCCCCTCGATACATTTTGCTGATCAAGGGGGTACCCTGGGTAGATTTATCAAATCGACTTGTTACTGTTAAAATGGAATACTTTCCCACATTTTTAAAATTTAATAAATATATTGTGGAAATGATTTCGTGACCCCCTCCTCCTCTGCGAAGGACCCCGTATTCCGGCAGCACCTCCCACACTCAGGAAGTGCTGAGGCACATGGTCATCTGTGCCGTCTCCAAGTCCAAAAATCTCATGTAGCCTCTGCTGGCACCTACCCATGAACCCTCACGTGACTGAGTGAGGGAGAAGAGTTGGTTCACTGTTGGTTCACTGTTGGTTCACTGATGGTTCACTGATGGTTCACTCTGCCTCAGCCAGAATCGGAGGTTCAACCATCGGACAAGGTCACTTCTCCAGTACCCTGGTATGGACTTTCCCAGGAAGCCTGAGAAGTGTGATTTCCCTACAGTTAGGACATACACTCTGGTCCATCCTTTTTCCATCACTCCATCACCGCCTTAACTGCCTTCCGTGCAACGCTAACAAAGAGCATCCGCTACTTCAGCCGAACAACATCTAATAGGTTCCATGTCTCTGGACAGATTTCAACTACCTTCACAGCCCTTTCACCATGGAGGTCATAGCAAAACATCAACTTCAGCTGCACTGAGAGACTCTATTCCACCAGGCGTTTTCAGCATTGCCTCTGGCATATCTAGAAGGTTCAGGGGTTCCTCTATGTGTTCCTTCCACCGAGGAACGCTGCTCCCAGCATGGGTCAGCACTTCCCCGCTCCTGCTACGCTCAGCCCGCCGGAGATCCTATAACACTCCACACTTCCATCTGGTTCCTCCCACTCATACTTTCTGCCCACATGAGACACAGGAACCTGACGGCTGCCTTTCATCTTGCCTGCAGGTGGGAGACTTGCAAGATGGCCCTAGCCCGGCAGGGTTATGTGGATAACCTGACCACTGGGTCTTCGCTGGCAAACATCACCACCCCCCCTCCAGGGCCTGGCTCTGGGGGGGGGGGGGTCATAGGAAACCTACTTCAGGCAGGATATTCTGATGTTCTTGGTACCTTTATATGGGGTCATAGTATATCAGGGCTTCTTCTCACAGGCCAGTCCATCAAGGAAGGTCCTACCAGCAGGTCAAGGTCCAGGCAAAATTGCACCATGGATTATTAAAGCACACCCCCCCCCCCACCACCACACTTTAGTCATAGTCACAGTCCTCTCAGGGGTCAATGTATGTTTATTTCTTCATAAATTAAGTTTAATTTACTGGGTTCATAAGTCATGCAGTTTGGGAACATTAACTAATTTGCTGGTCCTGTGTATGATTACTTAAGCTGACAAAAGGCTGACGTCACTCGGCACTTACTCATGACAGCCGAGACACTGTGCTGCAGGGCGACTGAAAGCGGCCCCCCTCATCCTGCAGTGCGAGCTGCCAGGAGGCGTGTGATTGGCCAGGTCAGCTGCCCACTGTCTCTGCAGCCCCCCCCCCTTGGCACTCTGGCCATTTCCTCTGTGCCATTCTCACCCTCACCAAATTAGGTTTGGCCACCCCCTCCGCCAGAGCCGCTCTGCATTGCCCTCTGGACGCCTTCGTCTGGACCCCGCAATCCCAGCCTAATTAATTTTTTTTTTCAGGGACAGGAAAACGTGCGTGCCAGTGGGAGACGCTTCCAAATTAGCTTTAATTAGACAGATATGAGACTTGCAGTCTCCCAACCTCCCACATTCTCCATAAACGCTCTCAGCATTGTCTGGGTGTACGGAATGCATCAAAAAAACAAAAAAAACAAGCAATATATCTGAGACTGTGTATCGAAAAGAAAGCGAGTTTATGCAGTTCTATAGCACATCTTAAAATATATTTGGAAAACATTGAATTGTTGGAATGCAAATTTTAAAGGAACATGCTTATGATTAAGCACAAAACTTAAAGTCAAAACAGAGGATCATTAGAAAGGAAGAAGCCAGTCATGTCCTGTCCTGAAGCTGCGGTAGACAGGTATTCATTTATTCTCTGTCATTTCCTGTTCCTTCCTGTTATCAATCTAATCTCCTTCGGTGTTTCCAGAGAACAATCGCACAGCCAGGGCCGGGGATCCCCCAAATCTGCCTGAACGTCTGGACCTACAGTGTGTCACGTCTTGATAAATGACACTGTATGCAGATTGTGTGTGTGCGTGGTCCTGGACGTGGGCGGGTACAGGGCTGAGAGCTACCTGGCATCAGTGCCAATATATGATGGTGACGGTTATGCCAATGGCTGCTTGGCAACGAGCCCTGTTCACACATTTGGTCATCAGTCGTTTTGTTAATAGAGCAAAGGGCTAAGTGTTAAACACGTACCTTGCAAGGCACTTACTACATGTAGAAGAATGAGTTGCATCCTTTGTGGCCCATAAACTGTATCTCCAATGATAATAATGACATAAAAAAAAACAATTTTTGTTAAAAACTTTAGCCCAGTTGCGCTGCTCTGGATAAATGGTTGGCGACTGCACAGAATTGATGGATTTAAACGTTTCACCTGCTTCTCGGTTAATGGAGAAACGTATAAATGGAGCCAGTTTTTCAGCGAAAAACCAAGCAGGAATTAAAAAGTAGAACCAAGCCCTGGTTTAGACAAATGAGATGTGAATTACTGGCATTTATCATCTCGCCCTTATTCAATTAGAAAAAAAAAAGTTCTCTGGGAATCATGGCAAAGTAATTGATCTACGAAGGGCATCCTTTTCCCTGGACATGCAGTGCGTTCATTATAGAGCACTGGAGGCCTCAACAACAGCCCCTCCTGGCGAGGAATAAAGAAAAACCCGCTCTCTTTCCATCTTAATGCTTATCTCCTCCTCCCGCTTTCACTTTCCCTCTCATTTCCTCTTTTATTGCATTCTAGTTAACAGTGCTTTTTTTTGTTTCACATAGAATTAAGTTTGTGAAATGGTCACATGACTCGTAGATAAGCATGATACGACCCAGAAGGGCAAAACAAACCCAGCAGTTTGAAAAAGATGGCGGGTGAGTGTTTATAGGCGGTTTGTACCTTTCCAGCTAAACTCATCTCTCTTTCGAGAAGCTCCCCCCACATTTTATTTTAAAATGGTGGAAATATATGTTGTGGCTACAGCTATATAAAAAAGAGTGAAAGAGAGAAGTCATCATGGCTGCTTACCTTTAGCACTGACGTCTGTTCCAGGAAGTGGACAGTCGCATCCCCAATTAACCACATGCACAGTCTCTGCTAAAGGAGTGACTCCCATTAGCCGATACAAAGGAGGGGAGAAAACCCCCAAAATCGGGAAAGATCTCGGCCGTTGTGTCCCATCCTGCCGCTGAACGCACAGGAGAGTCGGGGAAAAAGCCTTCCGATTTACCAGCGAAAATAATGTCCGTCCGAAAAGCCGGAGCTTGAGGGGGGAAAGAGGGAAAAAGGGAGGAAGGCAAGAAAGAAAGCAGAGAGACGAAACCGGCCGGGCTCCTCCGCATTTTCGGCCGGAAGATTCCCCATTTACATTAGATCCGCGGAGCCGGGAGAGATGGCTTCCTGTCCAGCATTGTTCCAGGGCTGCAGGTTATGGTACAGAGCCCAAGCACAATGGTTCCAATAGGATTTTTCACAGATTGCTGGTTGAAAGGCCCCGCTGGGCATTGCGGTGTGTCACGTGACTTCCAATAAGCAAGCTACAGCAGCAGGCGGCCTCCAAAGGCTCTTATTTACATTCTCTTTTTCATCCGCCCTCCATCTCTTTTTCCGATACAATATCGGCAGAGGAATACATTAGGAGGGAGACGGCCCCTTTCTTCATGTATGGCTGAACATCAGAAGAGAGTCCATGACCAGCAGCGCCTATAAGCTCACGGGCGTAAAAGCGAACAGCTAAAAAACGGTTTTACCATCTCGTGACGGAACACTCCGGCGCAGATCTGGGTTTGCCCGGGTGAAACCTGGGTAGTCGAGCGGAGAAACAGCGAAGGAAAAAGACAGAGCCGGGAAATTAAGTTCCGATTCACAAAAACGAAAGTATCCGCTTAACTACTGTCTCAATTTTTTTTCACTTTTTTTTTTTAGCAAGAGGCAGGTTAAAAGTTCTCACTTACAGCCGTAACACCACGAGAAGATGTGGCGGTCAAGATACGCTGTGGACAAAAGCCAAGGGGGCATCCCGGAATGTTCTAGAAGGAATGTGGTGCTGCGACTGTCAAACTACCCATATTACATCCAAGGAAAACTTTCTGCTCAGGACCTCTCTTGGTGCGCACCTCTCACCCCCCTGCGCACGACACCAAATTCTCCTCCTCTTACTCCCTGGGTACCAGAAGCTTTCAGGGGTGGGGGTTTTAGGACGGGGGGGGCAGGCAATCCACAAGGCGCCGTACAGCTCAGCCGATCCAGTCCGGGCTGGGAGGATCCGGATGGGATGAGCCCTCCCTTCGCTGGACCGCATGAGAACAAAAAAATAAATAAATGAATAAAAAAAAAAAAAAACTGCTGGAATGAAGTAGACAAAACTCATGCAGACAAACATTTTGAAAACTTTTAATTTTTGTCATATTTGCCCAAAACTGCAATTGTATATTTTCTTTACATAACTTCACATAAGTTAACTCCAATAAAACCCATAAAAAACAACATGGGACTGGAATCTGGGACTGAGCCACTGTAATGAAAAATTCACCAGGACTCCGCTTTGCTGGACCAAACAGATAAAGCACCTTGAAGACGGTGCCTCAGAGTCAGTCACTCAGAAATGGCTGCACCCATGTGTTTAGACCTGACAAACGTCTCTATTTCTAACCAACAGCCCGGGGCAGCTTTCATTTTGTTGTTTTAACGTGCTTAGAATGACCTGCTGGACTGATGCTGATGACAAGTAGAACCATGACATGGTGTAATATTGCAGCTCTTAAGCCAAGATAATCTCAAGAAATGCTTTAGCGTCAATCACTAACATTTAAAGGGTCATCTTGCATATTAAATTATGGGCTTTTTGGAAAATGGATAACAGATAGCAAACGTGGCGAAAATCAAGCACAGGATTTCAAACAAAAACAGCTGTTACACATTGCTAACACAAAGCTGCAGATTCTGATGCCACTCTTATTTCCTGCAGTTTAAAAGTTGGGTTCACCATGCACTTCCGGTCGCTGTAAGAGTAGGATGTCGAGCCGACCACCGCCGTCTGATCTGGAAATGTACGGCAGTACAATCACACAGTTGTGATGCCGATGATTGCCTCGAAAGGCAGCTTGGCATTGTGTGACATCATCATCCACAGACACAGAGAGTCACTCTTCCTTGGACCGATTTCCTGTGGCAGAAACCCACCCAGGGGCTTGGATCACCTGTCTCTCCTTCAGTGATGACAGTGACCTGACCCACACTCCCCGAAGCACCAATCACATGGCACCTCCTTGCGATTATCACGTCCCTTCTCCAATAGTTTCGATGGAGAAGATGAAAACTTTCAGGCAAACCCGGCCCTAAATCTCCTTTCTTTTTTCCTGGACCCCAGAACCATTTTGTGCGTTTTTGGTAATTAGAAAAGGACCACCCACACACACACAATCACACACACACGCACCCACACACACACACACATGCACACAATCTCACACGCACACTAAAGCAATGCAGGTGTCGCATCAAACATTTATGATCAGCGCATCAGCAGCAGGAACACGTAGCGTGTGAGGAACACATGCAAAGCTTGTCTGCCGGCTGTCTGCTCCCCCCCACGGCTCCTCTGATCAGCAGGAAGGAGTGGGCCCCGGCTGTCACCTCAGCGGGTTCACGCAGAGTGCACCGCCTGCTAATTGCCGCAGTGTCCGTGTGCAGTCGCCGCTGCCGCAGAGCCCCGAAAAGCCGCCCTGCTCTCCCCTGAGCTCTGACACCTGCCTCATGCCCTTATTTTCCCTCCGTTCCACTTCCTCTCGTTTCTCCGGTTGCCCCGCTTTCTGGGAGTGTGGCTTCATGAAAGTTACTTATCCATTGATCCTCCAAAACGGCTTATTGAGCACAGGGTCATGGACAGTATGCACCACTCACATATACTTTGAAAGAAATAATCTGGCCAGTATTTTGGCCCACATGTGTGTTTAACATATAACAATAACTTTTTAATGGAAATATGTACACATTGCTGGATTACAGATTAATACGCATTTTAGTACAATTAAATGTGTGAAAAGTTTTGTACAGGAAAAAGAAGTTCTCTTTGAAGTTGGCAGTAATTGCCTGAGTTGATAACTGATTCAGAGGTAAGGAAGAATGCTCACAGCATCTCATTACTGTGTGTCCGCTCCAGGATCCCTGAGTCACCAGCGGATCTCTGCCTGTTCCATGTGGGCAGATGGCCTTCAGGAATACGAGAAGCCTCAGTGAAGGACACTCCAAGGCGCGGATCTGAGACATCCTCCATCCTCTGAACGCCACCTGATGTGTCCTGCACCGCCCCCTACTGGTATGTCTGCACAGTGCATGGGGGCGATGCGCTGCTTTGTCACCCTTTTTACACCTATAGCAAGTGGGGCATTGATGTCTAGGAGAGGTGGGTAGGGCTAGGAGGGGACATCCTGGGAGCTTCTCAGCACCTTCCGAAGCAGAGATTTATATTCCGACACTGACCTGAGGCTCTGAAAACATCCATCCATCCATCCATCAATTTTTTAGCCATTTTTCATCCTGATCAGGGTGGTGTGGACCAAAGCCTGGAGACTATTCCAGGAAGCCCAGAGCACAGTTTGTGGACAATTTGTGAATAATCAGAATGTCACTGGTTGAAATCTCATGGCTGGCAGAGAGATTTAACCGTTAGGCCTTTGAGCAAGACCCTTGACCTCAATCGCACCCGGGACACTGGATGTCCCCAGCTTTCTGACCCTTCTTTGTATCTTGCTTTGGACAAAATTTTCGCCTAAATATATAAATGTACAATACAAGGTGACGGCAAGAGGCCAGTTCATCCTGTGGTTCTCTAAAAGTCGACCGCTAAGTGATTTGTTCTATGCACCTAGTGCCACGAATTTCCAAAAAAAAACATCTTCAGAGTCTACTTGTGCCACTCCCTCCACTCCTCCATCTTCTGTTTCTCAAACTCAAACATCGACACCCCTTCTTGTGGAAAGAGCAGAGCTGTGCTGCCTGTGCCCTCAAACATGAGCATCCTAAGAATTTGACACTGTTTTTCCAGAAAGGAGAAATCGGTCAAAGAGGCAATGCAGATCCTGCTGATGAAACCTTGTGCTCACCTGGATTGCTGATCAGTTGGATGACTGGGTAACACTTATAAGCCACTTTGAAAACAGAAAGAAGCTATTTAACTATATTTAAATTCATGAACATAATTTACACCGCGATGTTCGGTTCTCAGACAGGAACTGTTCCACCCTCAAGGAAGACATCTTACCTGAATTGCTCCAGGAAATATCCAGATCATAAATGGGCAAATTAAAAATTGCACAGAACACCACTCACTGAGTATGCTGGAGAAATGCTTAAGAAATTATGCAAATCGAAGCCCGTAAGCTACATTAAAAATGCGGGTAGGTTTTCCATGAACTTCTGCCCTGAGAACAGTCAACACGCATGTGCAGCAAACCCCAGGACTCAACATGAGTTCCAAGTTGGAGCTTCAACTTCTTTTAATCTGACCTGTTTGAATGAGAAATCAGTTTGTGCAGAAGCCTAAGCAAAAAAAAAAAAAAGAGTTTGGTATTGCTACTTTAAGTTTTGAACCCGATTTGAAACAGAATGACTTTAAATACACCTAAGGTCCTGCTGCCGCCAGATATCTCCCACCAGATGAACAAAACTTCTTTCAGAGTCCAAGGTCAGATACATTATTGTAAAGCTTTCTTGTGGAGTCCTGAAATGTTTGGCAATATGAGTCATAAACCAAGTTGGATTTCAGGGTTTTCAAATGCCATTTGGGTCAGGTGACTCACTACCCGCCTCTGCATCACCCTATGAGCCTGAGCTCGGAATTATATAGCTGCTCAATCACTCGCATCGGGGATGCCTTCAGGCATCTGCGGGACAATAAAACCTCTTAATTAGCCTGCCAATCATGGCCAACCTATCATATGAGAGTCGATTTAAGTCATGTGACCCTAAAATGACATGTTGCAGGAAGTGCCTCATCTTATATAGGGCATCTTAGGACAGAGGATGTACTAATGTCAGTCTTCCCCAAACTTGATTCAACGCTGCATTTGGTTTTTGAGAAATCTTGAAAAAAAGAAACACTATGAAAATGACAAATACTGTGAAAGAAAAGTATTTAACGATAATCAGTATTTATAAGGCTCCGGCGTGAGGACATCAGTCATGAGCTACAGGACAGATCATTGTAGTGAGACGATCCTCTGAGCTGGTGGGCCAAGGCACAGGTTCTTCGTGAAACCCAGATGGTCCAGGTGACTTATCCCCAAGGCACCCTCTATTCCAGTCCTTATGCATCGCTGGGAAGTGGCTGCAGAATGTTCCGGAAGCATTTTGCAGACAATCATATTGGGGCAGGTGAGCACAAATGGGGATAGCACCCCAAGAGCGCCTTAATCCACTCTTTATATGGTCTCCACGAAGAACGTGAAAAAAGCATGATTTTTCCTAATACAGTTTGAGGATTACAACAACCATAGGTGCTGTGACTATAAAAAGAGGCAATTGAGGGCAGGGATAAAATTAAAGAGTCAAAAATACATCCGAGCATGAGACTAAAGTGGATCACTTATCAGCGCCGAATCTCCAGCTGGTAGCGGTTTGTATCCCAGGCATGACAGGTATAAAAGTATAAAAGATAAAATGCTCAGTGACGCAGATTAAAGGCAACCTACTTTGGCGTGTCTCACAAGCAATTACAATGTTTCCTCCAGAGTGAATAGGCACTAAACAAACAGGCGGCAGAGACATGCTTCACATTTAGCAATATGCCTGTGATTCTCAGGCTATGGTGTCTATAGAGGCAGCATTCATATCTTCTCTAGCTCAGCGACGTTCGGCTCTCTATCTTTCCTGATGCACATCCTGGCATGTTGTTATTTTCCAATCAATTACAAGTTAAGTTCCTCTAAAATGTAGAGGATGGAATTTCATGATATGGATTCATGATGGCGGAAGAGCCTTTTTAATAAATGTTAACTTGAAGAGCATCAGACTTTTGACTATTTTTCAAGTATGTAATTTGCATGGCTTGATTCAGAAGTGAAACTTAGTCGACAACAAGAAGGAAAAATTAAAATCTCTCTGTAACGTG